ACATGGCATTTGATAACCTAAAATTTGGCATGCAGCTCTTCTTATGAAAATCCTGCTGATTTTCTCCAAAATCTATGGCTAATTCATTCAATGTAATCAAATTTTTTCCTCTCTCCGGTTGAGAAAATATTACCTTTTATTTGACATTTGTTAATAAATGAAGTCTCACCAGCTATGACAAGAGGTAAACTGCTGTTAAATCCCAGAAGGGTGAGGGTTAGTGTGGCTGTCAGAATGTGTAGAACATGGACCGTGTGTGTAAATCAAACACCAAACCCTTGGACTTCTAGAAAATGGGGCCATTAAGCTTTAGAACTAAACCAGCTACTCGTAGGAATCAACTGCTATTAGCTTTCATTAGCTAACATTTGCCCTCTCAATGGAGAGGCAGTAATTCTGAGATGTAACATAAGAGAAAGAGAAAAGTGGGAGAGGGGGTGAGGAAATGACAGAGGGTCAGTATGTACTGATAGTGTGGTTTGGTTACATAGGTATTTATTTATTGGCTTACCTTGGGCTAAAAGGATAGTAATAAAATATGCTATCATGGTCTGTGCCAATAAGTAAATCTATATGATAAATAGCAAGTTAGCATGTTCCTACTGAAAAATATGGTTGTCTTTAACAATCCTACCTTTTTTTCTTTGGTCTTTTTCTACTTTCCCTGTCCTCATTATGAAATCAGAACTTTCTTTTCTTTCCTCTCAATTTTTGTGCTTCCTTTCTTCTCTTCTAGTGCTAAATGTCAAAAAACTTGGAAGGTCTACACCTCTGCTCCATCGGTTTGACTACTTGCTCCACAAAAACAGAGGAAGAAAGATTAGAGAACCCAGGTGACTAAGACTTGATCACTAAGGTGAAAGGCATGCCATTTTCTCCAGCTTTTCACTAAATACAAGCCACAGACTTCCTGTTCCAGTGCCCTTCATTTATTTTGGGCTCTGGACATGAAGGAGTCAGAGCGATGCCTGACCTCTGCTCAAGAAAGAACTAAGAAATCCTATGCTGTTCATTTTGCATCCTCTCATCAGGCTGTTTCAGGGCGGGGATGAATATTCCTAACAAGCCTTATCCATCATCACAAACTGTGCCTATCCTTCCTCCAGATAACTACCTCTCATTCTTATGATAGGCAACCATTTTTATAAGTAAACTGAGTATGAAGCTACTAAACCAAACCCGCTGCCATCGAGTTGATTCCCACACATAGTGACAAAACGGGACAGAATAAAACTGCCCCATAGGGTTTCCAAGGCTATACATTTTTATGAAAGCAGACTGCCTTAGCTTTTTCCCATGGAGCAGATGTTGTTGTTGTTGTTATGTGCCGTCGAGTCAGACCCGACTCATAGCGACCCCTCCTTGGGTTTCTGAGGCAGTATCACTACGGAAGTAGATTGCCCCATTTTCCTTCCGAGGAGTGGCTGGTGGGTTTGAACCACCTGCCTTCTGGTTAGCAGTCAAGTGCCTTAGGCACTATGCTACCAGAGCTCCAGATAGTAGGTTCAAACCATCAACCTTTTAGTTATTAGCTGAATGCTTTAACAACTGCACCACTACTAGAGGATGACACAGACCTTGCTCATGGCCAGTAATTCTCAAGCAGGAAGGGTGTATCAAAAACCACAGGGGCTGATTATAAAGGTACAGGGGCATGTGTTAAAGGTTATCCAATATTATCGTAATATATATTATGATTTGGAAGATAAAAATAACTATTGCTTTACACAGTTCTATTCTGACAGAGTATGGGGTTGCTATGAGTCTGAATTGATTCAGTGGCAACCGATACTGGTACTGCCTGCTATGGTAGTAAATATGTTCTTTATTGGCTGCCATCCCTCTCTTCCCCACTCCCCTACTGATGTTTCCTTAACCTCTTAAATAAACTACTTGCACTGGAAAAATAAAATAAAGTAACTATTGCTTTAATAATAAAATAATAAAACTGGTGGATCTTGGTTAAGAACAGAAAACACAAGAAAGATGTTTACCTGGGTTTTGTTGACTATACAAAGGCATTTGACTGTGTGGATTGTAACAAATTATGAAGAAAGGAATCCAGAACACTTAATTGTGCTCATGAGGAACCCCTACATAGGACAAGAGGCAGTCGTTTCAACAGAACAAGGGGCTGCTACATGGTTTAAGATCAGGAAAGGTGTATGTCAGGGTTGTATCCTTTCACCACACTTATTCAATTTGCATGCTAAACAAATACTCCACAAATTTGGACTATATGCAAAAGAATACAGCATTAGGATTACAGGAAGACTCATTTTACCAACCTATGAGATGCAGATAACACAAACTTGCTTATTGAAAGTAAAAAGGACTCAAAACACTTACTGAGGAAGATCAAAGACTATAGCCTTCAGTATGGATTACACCTTAACACATAAAGAAAACAAAAAGTCTCACAACTGGACCAATAAGCAACATTATGATAAATGGAGAAAAGACTGAAATTGTCAGGATTTCACTACTTGGATCCACAATCAATGCCCATAGAAGCAGCAATCAAGAAATCAAATGATGTACTGCATTAGGTAAATCTACTGCAAAAGAACTCCTTATGTGTTAAAGAGCAAAGATATCACTTTGAGGACCTAGGTGTGTCTGATCCAAGCCATGTATTTTCAATCATCTCACATGCATGTAGAAGCTAGATAATGAGGAAGATAGAAGAAGAATTGATGCCTTTGAACCATGGTGTTGGTAAAGAATACTGAATATACCATGTGTTTTGGTTACCTCTAGTGCTGCTCTAACAGAAAATACCATAAATAGCTGGTTTGAACAAACAGGGATTTATTCTCTTACAGTTTTGGAGGCTAGAAGTCTGAGTTCAAAGTGTCAGGTCCAAGGGCTTGGTGAAGGCTCCTCAACCTTGGGCTTCAGCTTTGCCTCTTGCCTCAGGTCCACTGAAGTGGGAAGCTTTTCTTAACTCAGGCAGTAGCTGACTGCTGAGACTGACAAACCCAAGGCCAACAAATAAAATGGCACAGTCCCAAGAATACCAAACATGGCAAGCCCCTAGTTCAAGTCCAGAGACAGTCTCAAGATCAGCAGGATACATGGTAGGCTGCTGAATGAAGACTCAGCTACATGCAAGGGCCAAGCATGCCAAAAAGCTACAGAGACTTCTTCAAAATTTCTTATATACTGGAAGCAGACTACATCCCTAAGTCAGCCACTCAGATGCTCCAGTAGATTCCACCATGGAGTTGATTACTAATCTCATCATGGGGAATAACTATGTCCAGCTGGCCAGCCATATAAAATCAGGCCCAGCCAAGTTGACACATAACCTTAACTACCACACCATGACTGCCAGAAGAATTAACAAATCTGTCTCGCAAGATGTACACCCAGAATGCTCTTGGAGGGGAGGATGGCAAGACTTCATTTCACGCACTTTGAACATGCTCTCAGGAGAGTCCAGTCCCTGGAGAAGGACATCATGCTCAGAAAAGTAGAGGGTCAACAAAGAAAAGGAAGATCCTCAAGGAGATGGGTGACATAGTGACAACAATGGGCTCAAACACCATCAATTTGTGAGAATGGTGCAGGATCAGGCAGTATTTCGTTCTGTTGTGCTTAAGGTTGCTATGAGTCAGAACCAACTCAATCACACCTATCATAACAAAACCGTAACAACAACAGCATTCATCAAGCTGCTTCTCAATCTTGGTGACCCCATTTGGGTCAGAGGAGAACTGTGCTCTGCAGTGTTTTCCATGCTTGTTTTAAGAAGCAGATAATCAGGCCTTTATTCCAAGGTCCCACTGGGTAGACTGGAATCACCAACCTCTGGACTCTACTCTAATGATGTTGCTTTGTTGCTTTAATGACACAAACTATTTAATAAAAGCTTTCAGAAAAACCTTCAGAGGTAGTATAGATACATAGAAATTAACTCTATGTATCACTGATTCTCCATGGGGAAAAACAACAACAGAGTCTCAATGTAGGAGACAGGTATGTGAAATATTTGTATTTATTAAAAGAAACTTACAGAGGTTGATATATACTGTTCCAGCTATTAGTGTTCAAAATTAAAAGGCAGTAACCTACAAGGTGGAGTCCCTGGGTGGTGCAAACAGTTAACATGCTTGGCTGTTAACCAACAGGTTGGAGGCCTGGGTCCACCCAGAAACACCCCAGAAGAAACTAGTCTGGTGATCTCCTTCCAGGAAATCAGTCACTGAAAGCCTTGTGGAGGGTGGTTCTCTGCCACACACAAGTGGGAATCGACCCAATGGCAGCTTATTAACCTCCAAGGAAGGAAGGGTTCCCACAAACCAGGGGTCAGGGCTAACCTTAGCCACTCCTGATCCATCTCTTTCCCAATTCCCTGCATCACAACTCTCTTGCAAGACTTAATGCAGCCCCTAGTCCTGTCCTAGCTGCTGAATCCTGCCTCATTTTCTTGCCCTCCTTGGTTCTCAGATTGAGGCTGCAGTGCTTAAGTGACACGAATGCATTCTTAACATTGGCTGTGGCCTAGTCTAGGTAAAGGAATGGCGGATGCAAAGAATACCTTCACATGCAGACGCTTCTGTGCTATCCTCTTCTTGGGTAGAAAGCAAGCAACTGATTGTCGGTTTCTGCTCCAAACCTGTCTGCTTTCCTTTCTCAGATGTTCCTCCAGAACGGAAACTCTGGGAGCGGGACACCGAAATCTCAAACTGCTTAATCACTTCCTCGTCACTGTCAGAAGATGTGGATGGCTCTTCGTCATCCCCAAAGCTGTCAACTGGAAACAAACAACAAGGCTGTATGAGTCTCCTGCATGGCCCAGGTGATCCAATACAGAGGCAGATACCCCAGGAGAATGAAAAAGAATATGGACATTAAGTCTGATCAAAGCAGGCCCCAAGTGGAGAGAAAGAATATAGAGCACTTTTAAACCAAAAACTAAGTCCAAAGGGCTGAAATGAGAAAAGAATACTCAGGAAAGTAATTGGCTAGAAATAGAAATATATGGCTAGCACCCAAGAGAAACTACTGGGAGACCCATAATCAGCATAACTTGCCCTCTTGTTGAGCCTGACGGCCTTATTCATTTGCTGAGTTGCTTACATGTGTTCGTAACTTGGAACAGGACAGCACATTTGCCTTACGTGCATTTCCAGTCCACGATGATGGGAAGTAAGCACTCTGCCTCATATGATTTATTAAAACACACAGAACCGGGCCGTACTTCAGAGCAAAGACATTTGCAACTGAGGTTTTCCAAGTGTCCCCGTTTTGGAAAAGAGACAACCATATTGTGCATACATGTTTCAGTACTGCTTAGGGGGCACTTGAGATTTTGTGAAGGGTAACGGAAAAATCTGGAAACGGATAGTGGGGATGACTGCACAACTTGATAAATGTAATTAAGGTCACTGAATTGTACATGCTGAAAAAACGTTGAAGTGCCAAATGTTTTGTTATATGTCCACTTAAAAACCACACAAAGCCACTGTGGTTGAGTCAATTCAGACTTATGGTGACCCCATGTGTGAGAGAGCAGAACCGCTCCACAGCACTTTCTTGGCTGCAATCTTTACGAAGATTTCCAGACCTTTCCTCCATGGCACTGCTGAGTGGGTTCAAATTGCCAACCTTTAATTTAGTTGAGCACATACTGTTTGTACCACCCAGGGACCTTATATTTACCACAATAATAATAATAACAAGCTAGTTTTTACTAGAAATGTATTATGCCTTTCTCTATGTCTGTAAACCAACCCAAATGTTCTTTAAATGATTTGTACCATTTCCCCATGCCCTCATCAGTACACTTGTCTTCTTTCAGTTTTTCCACCAGGACAAAATTATTCCTGCCTTCAAGGTCTTTGCCTTGATTGTTCCTTCTATCTGGAACCCTCCTCCCCTAGATCTTTGCACAGCTGGCTTTTTTCTCCTTATTGAGATCCTCACAAGGTCATTTCATCCTAAAGGGTGCTCTGAGCACCTTACCCTAAGTAGCTCTCTTTATAGTGCTGACAATCCTTATTCTTGGTTCTCCCAATAACTTCTATGAAAAGAAAAATAGTGCCAGTTTTGATAACCAGTGTGTCTCCATTATGAAAAACAATGCTTAATGAATAGTAAGAACTTGATAAATACTTGTTAATTCCTGAATGCCCAGTGGTCTCCCAAGGTTGAACATTCCCCACCCATACAAACTGTCTCCTGTGCCTTGGGTGCTCTTCCCCAGCCCCCTCCAGACTAGTCAATAATCTAATTCATCATTCATGTTTCAGCATAGGCATCACTTCTTCCAAAAAGCCCTTCCTTGGCCCCTTAAATCAGATTAAGAGCTCCTTCTATGAGCTGTAAAATAGCTGTCTATTCTTCCCCTATCATAAACCTCTCACTGTATGGCAGCATTGCCTATCTAATTCCCAGCTGTTTCACTTAATATGTATACAATGTGAAGCTAAGAGCACAGCCTAGAACATGGCAGACAACTCTATAAACATTTGGTGAACGTAAACAGGAAATTGGAAATGATGGGGAATTTTTTTTTTTAGATCATTTCTTCCTTCCATCCAAAAGTCACACAATAATTTCAGAGAAGAATATGCTTGTTGATTCACAGAAGAGTCCTGAAGATCATTTCTGAATCAGAAGCTAAGAAAAAATAAACAGCTGTATTTTAAGTGAGAGAAAAATACTTCAAACACCAGTCTGGTTAAAACATTTATTCTCTGACTTAGCTAAGGGTCAAAATTTCTGAGGTTCTTTGGAAGACCAGCGAATAATAGCAAACTCTTAATGAGAGTTTTTCATTTGCCAGGCACTGTCCTAAGTGTCAGGAGCTCTGGTGACATAGTACCTAAGGTATTTGACTGCTACACAGAAGGCTGGTGGTTCAAACCCACCAGTCACTCCTCAGAAGGAAGGTTTGGCAATCTACTTCCCATAGAGATCCCATCTCAGAAACCCAAGGAGGGGTCACTACTCGAAGGCAGTGAGTTTGGTTTGGTTTTCTGGTCCTCAGTGTCTTACAAATATTATCTCATTGAATCCACACAAAACCACTGTTATAGTTCCTGTTTTCCAAATAAGATAATCTGAAACAGAGGGCCATACACAGTTGACTGAAGATCATGCAGTTACCAAGGGGTAGAACAAAGACTGGAATCAGGCAGCCTGTCCCTAGAGCTCGTATTTCTAATCACCTGCTGGAGAACCAGAGAAACATAGTGGAACCAACTCTTACTCTGTATTCTCACATTAGCTAAATCCCTGTGGCCAAGTCTCTTACCCTCTCTGGCCCTGTCTCCTCATTTGTGAATCATCTCTAAGGTCTAGATCATTTTACCTCTAAAATGCTATGACTCTAAACTTCTGGCTAATTGCCATCAATATTTGACCCATTTCCCACTACTGACAAGAGCACATTTTTGTCAGCTCACTCAATTCTATTGGCTGTGTCCAACACCATGGTAGGGCCCAAAAATGTAACTCTTAGAAGAGATTAAGTTTCCCAGTAATACACCAATATGCTGAAAAAAGAATACCTGTCTAAGCCTCAGAGATGGCCCTGGTTTATAAGAGAGAACCACTGCAGTGAGCAACGCACTCATGCTTCAACCTGCTATGCCTGGCACTCTGATGTGGGATGGGACATCACATACGGGAAAGTCAGGCCGGAGCCCACTAGGAGCAAAGCTAAACCCCCTCCATCTTTAGACTACAACGACGGGTTCAAACAGCAATGACAGTGAGGATGGCGTGGGACCGGACAGTGTTGTTCTGTTCTACAGAGGGTCGCTATGAGTGGGAGCCTACCTGAAAACAACAAGCAACAAGGATCTCTCTGACTATCTCTGAGAGGCAGTCAGAGAGCTACATGAAGGGATAGGGAGATCGGATTAGACGTTTGTTGGAGCTCTTTCCAACTCTGAGATTCCTTTCTATTTGTTTTCTTAGGTCTGTTTTAACCACCTTCAGTAGTCACACTTCATCCATTTCTAACTGGGTGAGTTGAACCATGGTATTTCTACATCTACAAAACAAATCATCAGTTTACTTATTTACTGGTATGTGGTCTTTAACTCTTCGCTTTACTTTTCCAAGAGTTACTGCTCATCCACAGAGCACAGATTCTTTACGTAACGTAATATTTGTAAAAGTAATTGTAACGGTTTCCATTCACTAACCATTCTGGTGTCTTTGCATATATTATCCCATTTATTCACCACAACGATACCATGAAGTAGGGATTATTTTTCTATCCATAGTATACAGGTGGGAAACTGTATGGGAAACAGGTACAGAGAGGTTGAGTAAGCACTAGGCCCCAAAGCAAAGTAGTAAAGCTGGGAATTGGACCTAGAACCTATTCCTAAACCACTGTGCATATCATTCATATCATTACACCAGGTAACTAGAGCCTTACTTGGCTTGCTTTTCAGAGTGAGGTGGGAGGTGGCTCTGCCACTTCCACTCTGAAGTCTGCCAGGAGGCTGCTTGCTTTGTGATGAGTCAAAGCAAAGAAGGCTGGTGGGAAGGGCAGTCAGTCCCCGCGGTGTGAGTGCAGAGGCAGGCTGCACGGTAATGGGCCCATTGCTCCTCGAGGGGTAATAACTACAACAGCATATGCTATTCTAGGCCTCACTGCCCAAGGATCTCAGGGAATTCTACATATAAAAATGAAAACTGTCATTTCCTAAAAGCCACTGAGCAGCGATAGAAGCCAACAGTGTTGTCATTACCATAATAAAAGCCATCACTTACACAGCAGTTACTATGTGCCAAACACTGTTCTAAGAACTATTCATATGCTAACTTTTTACTCCTCAAAATAAACCAATTAAATAGGTACTAATATTATTCCAAGGCATGTGACTGCTAACAAGAAGGCTGGTGGTTCAAACCCACTAGCCACTCCTCAGAAGGAAGACTGAGCAATCTACTTCTGTAGAGATACCGCCTTGGAAACCCAAGGAGGGGTCGCTATGAGCAAGATCAACTCGACAGCAGTAAGTTTGGTTTGGTTTGGTTTGGTTATACCAAGGAGCCCTGATCATGCAATGTCAAGCACCTGCTGCTAATCTATAGGTTGGCAGTTCGCACCCACACAAGACACTCGAGGGAGAACACCTGGCTATCTGCTCCTGTAGAGATTATAGCTTAGAAAACCCTGTGAGGCAGTTCTACTGGGTCACAGCTTCTTACCTTGTAATGAGTACATGTCGACAATCAAATAGCCTATCTGATTTCTTTTAACATAAATCTTTGAAAATAAATTCTCACCTAAATTGTGGCATTTATTTCAAAAATAAGGGAGTGTATGCTGAAATACCATATAAATATCAGGTTCAAATCTCTGTCAAGCTAACTTCTCAGGAAATTGTATAGTGGGAATTTTTATTAAAAATTTCACTCCTTAACCCAATAAACTTGCTAACATGAAGGGAAAATAGTTGTATCGTTAACATGGATGTGGATGGATCCTCAAGTTGGAAGACTGTTTATTTCACATAATCCCAGAATGTAGAGAGATCTTAGATATCCAAACATCCACCAAAGAGAGGTCAAACTATTCCTCAATTTTTCTCATACAGCCTCCCAGATACCAAGTAGGTGCCTTTGCCAGCTTCCTGCTCTAATAAAGAATTCATGACTTTAACAGAAAGACAGAGCTGTCTGACAGTGGCCCATCAGTATCTACCCTACTGCAGTGGTAATGCCTAACACACATGACTGCTAACCAGAAGGCTGACGGTTCAAACCCACTAGCCACTCCTCAGAAGG